CAAGGTAGCTGAATCTTTTAAAACTTATATAGCTGAAAATTGTTTTATATAAACATATATTGTAAAATAATAGATAAGGCAAAATTGTAAAATTAATTTAGGTTGGTATACCAGTATGGTTGGTACGCCTGGATGATTTACCTGCATGGGTTACCTTTATAGCATAAATAGGATCAGGTCGCACTAGTTCTTAGTTTTAATCTTCCTCTTTGAAGATCATCACTTGGTGATCGAAACACGTGTCGAGGTGTTAAAAATAACGATTTGGTGTTGAGAAAAAACTCCAGTTATATTCCGTATTCAACTTGAAATTTAGACGTAATAATCAAGTAAGCAAAAGTGAATTTCGCCAACTTGTCACAAACGGTGACAAAAAAGGAAAAAGGATGTTGGTCAGACATTAAATCATTTCAAAGAACATATATCACATATCCGATTTCGTTGACCAAAAAATTCTAGTACCTATCACCCATAATGCTATGACCGTCAAATGTGTGTTAAATTTGTTGAGATCAATACATACATGAAACAAAAATTTTTATTTCAAAAGTCTGGAAATAGGAATGTATGGCTTGAGAACCACGAACAGCAACAAAAATCTCACTTCAAACAGGTGTTTAGGTGACTCGGTCGAATGAAAATTTTTCAAAACAATCAAAATGGTGGCTCTTTTCTGATTTGTATGTATTTGAGAGTAATGAGTGTCTATGTATTGTATGAGTAATTTTCATTTTCTATCAATGGATTTCTCAGGTAAGTATATCAGAATGGTTATAGAATAATGAAATTGATAGATTTTGTATATTGTTTTCATTTCTTATAATTGCTGTACCTATTTGTGAGATTTTAACATTTCATTATCTAGATTAGATATTATTGAGTGTGTTAGAACTTGATTCAATTGATGACAAATATCTGACGATGTAGTAGGTATCTAGACTGAATTGCTATCTATTTGTGAAAACGAGCTCATTATAGTAAATTTCTATCAGTTTTTTTTCTATAGACAGCAACAGGTAGGTAATTGTGGTTGAGAATCACACGTATCAATGAGCCATATTCAATAACTCGAAAGTTTTGCTAGTAAATGAATTGCAAAAATGAATACCAACTGTTTTTGAAATGGACTTTGAAATTTGCGAGAGCTGAGGATTAACGAGATATTACAGATATTCATCCCTATTCATACATCAAAAAATAATAAAACATCGAAATTCAACTATACACCAAAAAGACATCAAAATCTAAAACGATAAATAACAGAAACATATTGACATCACCCCATTCCTCAATAATGATATTCAGCTATATGGGAGGGAAGATTCCGCTGGGAGGAGCCCAAACGCACCAATAGGCATACCCGCAGAGGAGAAGTGGAAACCATAACGCCCTCTATTCATAAACGGCTCCAGGAACTTAGTGAATTCTGTCGTCTCTAACGAAACACATGCTCCTGTGATTCGAAGCAACTCGGCACATGGGTTTACTGTCGTGATAAGCGTGAGTTTTACCAAATATCAATAGTGCGGAGTTGAGAAGAGAGTGAAGGAAGACAAAGTAGCAGTCCAAATCATAGACATTTCCGGAAATTTTTTGAAAAAGACTCGTAGGTAATATGAATGACTTTCTCATGAGGTGTCGTGTTTAGTGACTCAAGTGTCGTAGTGAATCTTCAAAGTGATTTTCAACTTCAACAAGGTGGGCGAGAAAATGGTCCTGGAATCGGGGGTTCTACCCCCTCCTCTTCATCTTTATGCTGCGGCAGCGGCGGCTCAGCTTGCTCCCCGGCCGCCTTGGGCACCTTTATTGCAATTTCCTACCGCCGCTCAATTGTTGGGAATGCATGGTGCTTTTTCTCCTTTGAACAGGCCACGGTATCCCCACGGAATTGGTCCTGGAATGCGAGCTCCTCCGGGACCCCCTTCAGAAGACAGCGGCAGCGAAACGCATGGTAAAGGTACGTTAGTTTTAGGGAAATATAGGCTCGTTTCATAGGCGACTAGATTACTTTCGCAACCTGATGCCAATGTTCACACTCTTAAAGGAATAACCTGACAAACTCATTGAGTACCTATCAACCGTTTGGAGAGACTAGTAAAAAAACCACTTCAATCAGAAACGTAAACAGATTCGATAAAAAAGTATTAAATACTCGCAAGCGATTATTTCATCAATACGATCATTATACAATTGATTTTTGTCTTATCAGAATCCAGAGTAACTATTAAATAACATATTTACCCTTTTCTCAACTTTGAAGATAGGTACGGCAATTTATTTGTTATACCGGAAAAACTTGGGATGGCAAAAAACGCCCAAATCATGAAAATCAGCTTCTAACGTTTCCGAAAGTAGTTTCGAGGTTAGATTTATCGCAAATGAACAGTTTTTGTTCATTTTTCAATATTTACAATCGTTTTTTTGAATTCTTCATGAGATCTGAACACTTCTCTGCTAACCAAATGCTTGATCAACAATGGGTTTAGCGATGATTGTTGATAATCCACAAATAGAATATACCTATATACCTACCTACCTACTTATATTCCGTTTTCTGCAATAGACGGTTATCAAACCAAAAGACAGTTTTACAAAGATCCTTCAAATTACAAATTTCTAAAAATGAATGCTCTGAATTCATGGTAGAAATTGTGAAGCAAAAGTAATACTCCAATATTTTATATCACTATTAATTCTGAGCATTCAAATTTTTCCTTCTTTTTTAAGTATGCCAATAAAAACAAATTGTTTTTTGCGTATCGCGTTCGACATATCTAACTTTAAAAAGAATGTAGCTAATGATGGCGTTAACGAAGAAGATTATTCGATGAGAAAAATTTCAGACTCGTCAAAAGCCGGGAAGGCATTGCGATATAGAAGAAATTTTATTAAAAAATTGGAGTACCGATGGGTGAATGCAAAAATTTTTGAAAAACTCCGCTTATATCAATTGAGAAGATAGCGTCCATAAATGATAACAATTTCAAGTGATGATAACTCCACAACTCCTCCTGGAAAAGGACTGCTGGAGAATATCACTTTGGATTAACAACTGACAACTCTAAACATATCTCCAATCTCCTAGAAGGTATTTACTGTTATTAACTAAAGCCTGAATGACACTTAACATTTGGAAATGAGAGAAATCACATCACTAAAACCTGAAGCAGTATATCCCAACACCAAACCATTATTTTCAACACCTCGACACGTGTTTCAATCACCAAGTGATCAATTGTTGAGATAGAACTTCAGTAATATTCATTGCAGTGCATTAAAAATGAAGCAGTATACTTCAATAGCTACTATCTACATTTCTAGCCATCAATTATTTATCTAAGTATATTTATGGTTGGGCAACGGTTTACTTGCCATAAATAAAAAAGAATCCTGGCAGTGTTCAGCTGTAATTTTTAACGATGCACACTATACAACATTAATATATAATCAACTGAAAAAAATACCTATTTGGTTTTCTTGATTTGTAATGACTAAACCCATTGAAAATTTTTTCACGTATATAAAAATACATTTTCAGCGAGTTACTAGTTCTAGATTATATTTTGGAAATAATTAGAAATTGCTACTGAAAGTGCAAAAATGTAAGTCATTGGTCAGCACACAGGGACGAGCCGCAAGTGACAGATAAACACATACTGATTTCTGTAAACCATTCCTACGGAATACTACACAAGGTGATATGTAAACTTGAAAAACAATGAGTATAGTCGAAGTAACCGATATAGTAATTCTTAAAGCTATCGGAGAAGTCAAAGGCCAAAAAACCAATACAAAGAAATAATGCCGCTACAAATTAGTCCACGTGGAATGAAGAATTGGCGATTCGTATTGGATAATTTTTACTAACCGAGTTTTATTATTATGGCTGAAGAATCATAAAATTAAATCTGAAGTCATGTAACGGTGACCAATAGAATGTGAGGATGGTTAGAAGAGTCGTGTTGTTAATGTTCAGTTCAGGAACTGATCGCGATTTGAATGTTGAAATTCGATATTGGTGAAGTTATAATTAATTAAAATTTTTGTTATAATTTCTGATTGTTTAATCTGGGGATATATTAGTCTGTGCGTAAATTTGAGGTTTTTTTTTCAGACTAACTTCTGGATTGTGTCTGCGTTAAAACCATTATTCTGTCATAACTGTATGATTGTTTTTATTTTCCTACCCAGATTGTTATGACTGTTGGAATGGAAAGTATCACTAGGGAAAGTTACGTCAAAGAAATTATTCTGTTTCTTAATCTGGTAAAGAACATAGAAAGTTTTAATTCTCATTTTACATGATTATCGCTTACCATGTAGTAACTAACGGCTTCATCCATCAATTTATTGAACGATTTTTTGTTCTTTTCTCTACAATTTCAATTTCATGTGAGTATAGTATATTGTGTAGCGTTCCTATGCATAATATCTCATAGAATTCCATTTGATTTGATATGTTCCTTCACCAGAACAAAAATGCTGTCTCTTGACGCAAATTCTTCTAAACATGTAAACATCATCAGGAGATGATGCTAACGATTTCTATATGTTCGAAGGCATACAAAAACTTGTTTATGAACAGGTCTCCATAATTTCAAGTCCTCCTCTCTTAATATTTCATGTGTCTATTCTCTTCGCGTGTTGAGCACCACTGGACTTTTCTGATCTATGTTATTATGTAAAATGTGAAAATATGAAAATGTGAAAAATGTTCCTTGTAGCGAGCTGGTAGAGCCCGTTTAGTTTGACCAACATATTTTTTATCGTAATACTCACACCTTATTTCGTAAACCCCAGAATTTGTCTTTACGTTGTTTTGTCTTAAGGTTGCCCAACATTCTTTGTAGTGTACGAGTAGTTTCGAAAGCCACTTCCAAATTCGATTTTTCGAATTTCTGAAGCAGTCCGTTCGTATATTTTGGTGCATATGGAAAAACTGTACATTTTTAGTCTTTCTGAAAAGTCGAGTATTGATGCAGGAGTTCTTTAAGTTTTTTCTTCCTAATTAACTTTTCCATTATGTTCGAAAGATACCTTTTACTTTCAGCTAGCTCCTTGAAAACTTCTTTCGCGATATCGTGATCAGCTTACAGACAAAAAATGTATTCCTGTCATTTTTTGTTGTGCGAGCAATGGTAGGAGCTGTCAGGGATATATCTAAGAGTCCTGGTATTCTTTCTATATATACATAAAATGTTAAGCATTTGAGGTATAGACATTTTTGTTATGAACATAAGATAGCTCAATTCTGATTTTTATCAAAATCTTTTGGTAATGTGTATATTTTCCAATTATTGAAATACCAAAACTTTAAAATCCTCTGGGACCGTAAGTTATTTTATGAAATGACTATTTTGAATAATACTGTTTACACGTGATTGCTAGACTTATCTATCAAATATTGAGTGGAAGAGGTGAATCATTTGTAAAACTTTTGTCGTGTAATTACTTTTTACTTCTTATTAAGCTTAAAATTTAGTAGCGTAAATAGAATTGTGTTACTTAGGACTGGAAATACAAATACAATCAATAATCTTTTAAATATTCACAATATATTACTATGAGTAATATGTATAGGGTTTTGCTATTCCTATAGCTCTCTCAAACAAAAATGGTATTCAGTAAATGTACGGACATATTTATAGTAGTTTGAAATTAGGTATTAGAAAATAATTAATGATATCTATCCTAAACTCAACTGTATTTTCCTTTAAATGTCCACTTATACGAATAATTTTGTTGGTAACGACGCAGAAAAATGTGTTTCAAACAATCTGTAATGTACCTAGGAAAAAATATTTTTTCCTTTACTCGCAGATGATTTGGAAAGCCACCCCAATAAGCATGTCTATCTTATCTATATAAGTACTACTACAAACGCTATAGACTTGGAAAATATACCTAGGTTTGGAAACGAAATAAATGAATCAAGTGAGTGTTTGTGTGTTTTAACGAAAAGAAAATTTACTAAAAATTGATTATTATCTTGAGAAAAAATATTTCCATTGAACATTTCGAAGTGAGTGGCAAAAAATACATTATAAATTAGGTACTTATACATACCTAATATGTAAATATTGAAGTACGAAATCGGAATTCAAAAAATGTCTTTTTTTGTTCAAATGAATGGTTGAAATGTAGTGCATTAGAAAAAGGACATGAGTATGTATATCTCATTATTCCAGTTTGATAATTGATTCAAGAAAGACCATTACTTGAAATGTGTAAGCATGAAACTCGAATTGTTTGATATCTGACATTTGACATAAAATTTAAGGCATTCATAGTGGTTTTGTTAATACCATAATTNCTCCCTGTAAATTTAGTTCAGGAGCGAGTCTACAGAGGAGTTGGATGTCGAGTTGACGACTCCAACTGACCTCCCTGTAAACTTAGATCAGCAGCGAGTCTACAGAGAAGATGGATGTCGAGTTTACGACTCCAGCTGACCTCCCGGTAAATTTAATTCAGGAGCGAGTCTACAGAGGAGATAGATGTCGACTTCACGACTCCAATGGACCTCCCTGTAAATTAAGTTCAGGAGCGAGTCTACAGAGGAGATTAATGTCGACTTTACGACTCCAACGGACCTCCCTGTAATTTTAGTTCAGGAGCGGGTCTACAGAGGAGATGAATGTCGAGTTTACGACTCCAACTGACCTCCCTGACAATTCAGTTCAGGAGCGATTCACCAAATTAGAGGCGAAAAAGCCCTGCACGGGTTGCTGTGAAGGGTCGAATAGACCCACTCACTTTGGACCTAACCTAACCTAACCTAGTGATAACCGTATGAAAACCCGTTTGATAGATTTCGAGTTTTTAGGGTTCAATCAAACAGACAAAGAAAGTTAGACGCGGGGGGAATTTGTTACATAAACTTCAGTTTAATTTCTTGTGATATATTTCAATGTATCACATAGTATATTTTGAATTTTCATGTTGCCATTCAATTCA